TCGTTATTATTTTCACACCATTTTCAGTGAAAAGATCAAGTATTCGCTGACCGATTTCTTTACCAAAACTAGCCAATAGTGGCACCTCATCGCGAGCAATGACAGTAACCTATAAAACAAATGTTCAGTTAATAATTACTACAAATAATATTTGAAATATAGTAATAAAGTATAGTACTAAGTTTACTTCATGATTCATGCAAGTGAAAGTTCAGAAAGTCAAAAGTGGAAAAATATGAAACTTAAAAAGATGTACCTTATAAGCTAAAAGTAAGTGCAGGTAGGCAAATGGGAAAAAAGTTTAATACCATAGACATTATTGGTCTACGCCCATACTTACGCTTTTCACTTTTTTAGCAAGATATGCTGCACTTTCCAATGCAATAAAGCTGCTACCAAGACACACGACATTTTTTTCAGCATCAACAAAATTATTTATAAAATCGGCATCCGAATGATCTCGAACAGTTACTACATTATTTAAATCGGCACCTTTGATTGGTGGTTTTATTGGGCAACAGCCAGTTGCGATAAATATTTTATCGTATTGTATTAATTTTCCATTGGAACATAAAACGGTCTTACATTCAATATCCAATTTAGTAGCCTCAACGCCGACCATGGTTTCTATGCTATGTTCATTGTAAAACGATGAATTACGATACTCAATTTTTCCGAGTTCAATATTCATTGATTTAGAAACTTTAATGCGATCATATGGTAAAGCGTTCTCCCGGCAAATCATAATTACACGACCAGTGAAGCCTTCCTGACGTAATGTTTCTGCACAAACAGCACCAGCCGGGCCACCGCCAACAACAACATAAGTTAAATTAGTTTCAGGACAATACGAAGCCATATTTTTAAGCCGTTTGCTTTCTGTTAGGTCCACCTTTTTAGCTCTAACTTTTACTTCCCCAGTTGTCTCCACTTGAACGTTAAAGCAAGGTAACGAATCCAAGCCGGGAAAATCTTCAATATCTCCCGTTTTTATATTAAAACAAGCACCATGCCAAGGGCAACGTACATGTCCTTGGCCCAATACGCCAGTATGCAATGGTGCTCCGTAATGCGAACATTTATTACCAACTGCCGAAAGTTCACCATTTTGTTTTATTAATAATACTTTTGTGTCTTCATTGAAATCGAACACCTTCATCTCATTTTCCTGTATATCCGCCTGGTTGCATAAAGTCACATATTCTGTATAGACTGACATGTTGTTCTCTTTGAGTGTTTGATATGATCCTGTCGTACCTACAAATTTATTTCTGATTATTATTTTATTACTGTTTCTATAAACTAAAATATTTAATTTGTAATTTGAATATATACATATATATATATACCCGCTAGATTCAATTATCATAAAAAAATGTTTTAAATTTCAAGGCAATCTTTTGGATTATTTTATAAATTTAATGTTCTGGAATTTCTGAAATTTACAGATAAAATGTATGAAGTTGGATTTATGAGAGTTCATAATTTGTTATTAATTGGAATGAATCATCTTTCACTATTTTACCATCTACCCACCAATTTACTTGCGTGTGAAGGGCACAATAAGACATTTTCAAGGCTGCAAAGAACATAAACGAATTAATTTATTTATTTTAATTGATTTTTTCTAAACTTATTTTGTGTTGCGTGCAGTTTTATTTCAAAACATTAAAACAACACGATACAATTAAGTTCGAATGTGTTAATAAAACAACTTTATTAACCTTCTATTAAAATTTCGACTTTATTCTAAAGTTGTCAAAATAAGATGTAAGATGTAATCAGGACGACACAAGAAATAAGGGCAATCAAAGCTAAAAATGTGTAATCCATGTACTTAAAAATTCAAAAAAAAAGCAAAGAAGTTAAGCAAATTACTCATTCGAACATAATTAAAACAATCTGAGTTATTAGGAAATTGAGGGTCAATTTCACAGCAACTTTAGTCTGAATACTGACTTTAATGGCGACTATGTCATCAACTTTCCTGACTCGATTTACCTATATTTAAATAAGTTTCAAATCTTATATTACGTCTGCGAAATCAGCCATTAATAATTAAAAAATTTGGAGGAGCCGTCTATGCATAAAATGGCATAACACTTATAAATGATGCCTTTAGTTGCCACTATAGCTTCTTTCTCTTGGTCCTTTTTCCCGAAAGAACTTTCTCCTTTTCTAATATATACCAGATGGAGGGGACTGCATAAAAACTTTATAAAACACAGATAAACAATATATGACAAGTCAATTAAACAAAATATATATATTCCATATACATACATATATTAATTGTAAATCACGTAAAGGCAATAAAACGGTTGCAATGGTATAAGTATATAATCATGCAGAAATGAATCACATGTAGAATAATATAACGTCTTCTACAAAGAGAAAGAAAAATGAACAACTATGGTAATACAGTTAATTCATTTAGAATATATGATACATCACAAGAATTCTAATCAATTTAATTTTATAATTATAAGTTTTTTTACATTTTGCAATTTTTTGTTAATTAAGATTTAAGTCATGATAATTTACAATTTAGATAGTTCTCCGTGCAGAGAGTTACTCTTTTTTATTTAAATTATGATTTTATTATAATATCTGAAGCGGCGTTTTCCTTTTCAGCCTCGTAAAAATTGTTGAGGGGCATCAAATTCGAAACAAGAGTTTTTGGAATGATTTTATATTCTTTTATGATATTTTCTGGCTACCTTTTTATTTTATCTTTTACCGGAATTACCATCGGACTAAGGTCCCGATGGATTTGGATGTTGGTTACATGGAGCGTTCACCATTTCTTGTAGAGTTTTAAACTGGAATCTTTGGAGAATTTCGATGATAGATGTTGAGGCTGTTCCCCATAGTTGAATGCCATTTATTTTTTAGGGATACTGAACATTTTTCATTAAGTAGATAAAACACTTTTCTGTATTCGATTCCAAAGTATATTCTTTTGTTAAAAAAGTATATTTTCCATGCCAGTCCATATTATTAAGTTTAATTTCCGGGCAGGTATCTCTTCTCATTGTAAATGTGACATGAGTAGATTTTGTTGCATTTGATTTCCTGCGCCAATGCTTAAACCATTTTGATATATGATCAAGATCAGCTTGTAGTTTAGAAGAGGCTACAGAGAGATCGATTGCAAATGTACCAGTTGGAATTCCTGCCGTTTTCGGTAAATCGTAAATCGGATTAAGTACACTGCCTTGTGGTACTCCAGTTTTAATACCATGTAAAGAAGACATTTTATTCTCGTTGTTGACATAAAAGAGTCTTTACAATAGATACGAATTTATGAACGTATAATTTAAATGGCAGAAGCCTTTTAAATTTAAAGAAAAGTCCTTAGTGCCATACATGATCAAATGCTTGAGATTTGTCCAAAAACGCTGCTGACCACTATTCTTCTTCCTCAACAATTCTATGAATTTGTTCTACCGTTGAATGTTTTCTTTGAATCCAAGCTGATGCTTCGGAATTATTCGTTTTTACTAAATTATCGATATAAGACGTTTTAAGAACAGCATCTCAAGATTTTTTTGGAAGAATGGGAAGGAGACTTACTGAACGATAAGATTTAACGTCTTCAGCTGATTCCCTGGTCTTAGTATCATCTTTATTTTGGCAACTTTCTGTTGAGCTGTGATGCAGCTTTCTAACAAGCATACGTTTAGCATACGGATAATAAATATTAAAGCAACATATAGAAGTTTTTTAAGGATTTTAGCAATTATGAGGTCATAACTAGGTGCTTTTCGATTTTTAAGAGATTTTAAGAGAAATTATTTTTTGTTTTTTAATTTCTTAATTGGTAATTCCATTTGGTAAGTTTCTTACAAAAAATTGAAAACATTTACATCTATTGGTAGATCGCTAGCCATATCATGTGGAGCAGAAACGCCCAAGTATTATCTAGTTTTTTAAGTGAAGGTCGATAATCTATTGTATTATTTACTCTTTTATTTGCTTTCCATAAAGAATGGTTAGATAAGTAGGACGTGTCAAGGCTATGGAAGAATTGCTGCGTATCTTGTTTCGTTTGTTGTTTTAGATGCCTTTAGATCTTTAGTAATTTTGTTAAGTTTCCTTTTGTTTTCAGGAAATCTGGCTTCGATTCCATATTATTCTAGCCTCGCGTTTATCTTTTAGTTTTTTTGTGATCTCCTCAGCATAAATTACAGTTTATGCAGTTTCCTTCACTTATTCTAAAATCAAAGCCATATAATTTGTTATTCTTTTAGAAATTATATTTATATTCCACATTTAATTTAATCATTAACGCATTAAGTATCAGGCAATTTAAGACTTGAAAAATATATAATATTCTTTGCATATTAAAAAATATTCAAAACTAGCCGTGTGGTTCACCGCATGGTGGTCCGAAATGGGTTAATCTAATCACTAGTTGACAATTGTCTCTCTTAAGGTAAGCAAAGGTCATAGTTACAGTTTCTTATAAATTTAATTGTACTTATATTCACACAAATGGTTACTCATTTTTTCGTCATTTGTTTATAATTTAATTCATATTATGCTTACAGAATTGTTATTTTCAAGTGGTTACACATTATAGATTCCTTTTTTAAAATTTGTGTAATTTATGTTTTGTCAGCCAAACCTTCCACTTGGGAAACAACTTCTTTAAAATTTCTATTCCAAAACTCCTTTAAGAGTGTATCGTCTACAATTCTTAAGATTACAAGAAACAACTTCTGTCAAAACTACATCTTGAAAAACTATTTAAAATTTACTGCTTCAAACACTACTCGTTTTTCAAAATCTTAGCTCATCTTATATACTTAAACTTGATGCAATGACTAACATTTAACAGTAGAATTGCTCCAATTACCTCATTAGTTTTACAAAAAGATTTCATAATTTAATTTCTTAAATTCGCAGTTTTCATTTATTGAAGAATGCTCCATATATTTTTACAATTCATCCGTATTCAATTTTTTTAAAGTCATTTCCATCAATTATTAACCAAATATCAAAAATCATCATTTCTTATCGTGGAACTGACGGAATGATGTTTGGCTTCAGTTAACATTTGTCAAGTTGCAAATAATCTTGTCTATTTTTAGGAAAATCTACGATCAACTAAGATCGTACACAAATAAAAATATATCTTTTTAGATATATACTTTTAGATTCACGAAAAATCGGAAAATGTTAGAGTTAAAAATATCATATACAATATAATAATAAAAAAATATAAAATAATAAATATAAAATATAAAAATAAAACAATTTTAAATATTTAACAATATGGTGTTTATTAATTACTTCATGATATAATAGCTACTATAGGGCGTAGTACTGTCTTCACTACCGAAAATATTATTACCATTTGCATTAACAACAACTATGGTTGGGCTGCAACTATCGTTGCATGAGACCAGTATAAAATTGCATCAAAAATCAAATTTATAATAATTTGGAAGAACTTGTGCATTGCACGCACACAAAGCTAATCATATATTTTAGGAAAATATATACAAAAACAAAGACTATGCACTAACTTCAGAAATATTGCCTTATACTACGTTTACATTGTGATATTAAGAGAACGAATCGGAATTTTCAAATTTTCAACGCTTGTTTTGAATAGATTTTGACATATCTCCTTAAGATCGTAAAAAATCTGTGACATTAAGAGATTTCTTCTAAGATCGTAAACGACATTAAGACATTTGCAGAGTTGCATTGAGAAATAATCATCATTTTGAAAGAGATTTAAAACTAATCTTGACGAAAAGAAGATTAACTTTTGTATAGAACATCGAGGTTAGTATTTTAATCTCGATTTTTGCTTCTACTTTAAATCACACAATGTAAACGCCGTATTACGTACCCTTGCATACGAAATCATTTAGTAAGTGTGTAATACAATGAAGAATACAAGAAGTGCTAGTGGTCCACTCAACACCAAACAACTCTTCTTCGTCTCTGACTACCATTGTTCGCCTTTTCCTTTCTATTCTCTCTTATCCAAAAAGAAATAAAATCTTGTAAATATAAAAAAATTGAACTTCACTGATTGCACTTTCGACTTGATGTAACAACACTCATTAAGCATAAGAACGCAAAACAGGAAATCGTCGCCATATAAATGACACACACAAACTAACAATATGAATAGAAAATAAAGTAACAATTTCTATACTATATCATATCTCACCTCATACACACATTCAACAGCTCTCTTGTATGCTTCGAACACTTAAAATCATTGTTTTATACGT